AGAGGGAGAGAGGGAGAGAGGGAGAGAGGGAGAGAGGGAGAGAGGGAGAGAGGGAGAGAGGGAGAGAGGGAGAGAGGGAGAGAGGGAGAGAGGGAGAGAGGGAGAGAGGGAGAGAGGGAGAGAGGGAGAGAGGGAGGCGCGGCAATGCGGCCGCGGTGGAGCCTCGGCAGCAGCAGCAACCACAGAATAGAACACCGAAATCCAAAACCAACTGAACAGCTGCAACTGAGGTGTTCATGGGGAGTGGTTGGGTGGATGGCCCCAGCGGCCCTTTCGGTCCGCCTCCCCACTTACCAAAAGGAGCCATCGCTGGTGGGGTTGAAGTCCAGGGCTGACTTGACCTGCGAGGGATGAAGGGAGTGAACAATCAGAGTCAAAGCCGAAGCCGGGGCCTAAACCCCGACAATCCACTGGAACCCGAGCCACAAAGCAGGCGGAGGAGCTAGGGCATGGGGAGGCAGTGCAGACAGCGAAGCCGCACGATGCGTCGTGGACCAAAATGTGGAGGTCTTCACCACCTTGGGATTTCGTTCCCACAGCGGGCTCTTGTCGCTCCAGGAGCCCGTCCACTCAAAGGTGCCCCAGGGGTTCCGGAGCCGCAGAAACCTCTTGTCGTCTGCCTCTTCTGCCCTGATGATGCTGTAGGCGTGACCCTGCGTATGTGTGTATGCGCGTGTGTCCAGGGGCAAGGAGTCAGTGAAATGGGGGACATTGGGGCAACAGAAAGAGCTGAACACTTGTGACTCGGGGGAATCGCCCTCGCAGCCCTTGCGGTATGGTCCATTAGGACATCACGGGGATCCCAACGAAGGAAGCCACTTCTTAAGTTACAAGTTACAAGTGCCGCACGAGTGCGGGGGCGTCCTTCAAAGGCCATGGACTATACATATTGAAAGATGATTCTAACGTACAACCGACGGTGGTTTTGTGGTCCTGCTACCTAGACCCCGCCCCATCCAGCCACCCGACATCCCTGGAGACATATCAACCATCACCACCAACTGGTAGGCCGTGTCCCAGGCCAGGTGAGCTTCCCCACACCACAGAGCAATACACCGATAAAAGAAAAACCGAAGCTGACAGAGGCGTCCCATGCCGGGGACCCCGACGCAAGCCTTCTTTCCATTTCCCTCCGTGCACCATTTCCTCAGCTCCAATCGCTCCCACTTTCGCCCCGACGCGCCCTTGCCGGGCACTTGGAACCACTCCGTCACCCCCACAAGCTACACCTCCCCCCTTACACACGCACACACCAACCTGCACGATGCCATGGATGCTCTGAGTGTCCCGCCCACCGGCATTGCTGGCGCCAATGGTGCTGCCGTGGCGCAGCTCCCATTTGATCGACTGCAGCCACAAAGGAAAAAACAACAGCAGAGTAAATAGCATGACGAGGAGGTCGCATTTCTCCGGTTCCGGCCCGAGGCATCGTCGAAGAAGCGGTTTTTAGGAGGAAGGAAAATGGAAAATGGACAGGGCCCCGCCGCCTCATCACTCACGCACCCGAAACATGAGGTCGTGGTTGAAGGGCTCGTCTTGAGCGTACACCAGCCGCAAGTCATCCCCAGGCGCAGCGTCCTTGGGCGGTGGTCCACGTGACAGCTCCAGCCTTGTCCACAACTGCTGGTGCCGCTGCTTGCCCCTACTTTTGGCGTCCTGATAACAGACAGCCGGTCGCAAGAGGGCAGGTGCATGTGTGGGCGACCGGGTCGTTGGGAAGGGTGCCCCACGGCGCGCAGAGGGGAATGTTGATGTTTCCATTGTGTGGATGGGTGGATGCCTGGATGGGTGAAGTATTACCAGCGTGTGCTGCTGCGCGTTAGGGTGTTGAGGCACTGCGCCTGAAATACGAAACAAGAATCCTCTCCATCCCCGGCCTGATCCGGCTCACTTGGGGTGAGGGTTCACTAAGACAGAGAAACCCGGAAACCCTGTACAGACCCTACCCCTCAAGGCACGAGCCCCTATTAGCAAGCTGGGTCTCTCAACCCGATTCTCCGTTGTGGGGGAGCGGGCAGGGTCTCTTTGTGTGTCTCTGTGTGTGTGTCTATGTGTGTCTATGTATGTGTGTGTCTGTGTGTGTGGGGGTAAACACGCTTGAGCGACACCAGTGCACGGGGTGTTCCGCGCCATGCGCTTGTGGGGAGGTGCAAAGACAGCAGAAGCGTGCGGAGGGAAAAGGGTGTCACAGGGTGGCGGCACACGAAGGCTTTGCTTGGACGACAAGAGCTCAACAGCCCCTCACCATCAGCTGCTACATGAACAACAACAACAACAAAGAAGCAGCACCACCGCCATCTGCAACTCCGGGAACGATGGCAGCAGGAAGGCTGTAGAACAGCAGCCGCGGAGTGGAGTCGCGCTCATCAACCTCATCAACCGCCTTCCTTCTGCCTCCTCCTCCCTGCCTCCCTGACTCCCACCTGGTCTTCTGCTGGCGCCTGCCTCCCTGTCTCCCACTTACCCTGACGTCCCCCAGTCGGAACAGGCACACAAAGTCCCCGGTGAGCACCTCCAGCGCCTTGATCATCAAGTTTCCGTCCAGGGAGGCGTAGTCCTTACCCTAGGGTGGGGCGGTGGGGGGGGTTGATCTTGTTGTGTCCGTGATGGTGGTGGTGATATCAAGACGTGTAAGGCATAAGCAAAGTGCGCCAAGAAAGCTAAGTAAACACCGACACCAAAACTCCAGCAAGAGGCAAATTTGCAGCGCCACGGCCGCGCACCATGAACTTTGCCATGGCCTTCTCTAGCAACATCACCCATGCCTCGTCTCCCTGAGGCTTGGCGAACAGCGGTCGCCCGTCGGCAGCACTGTGGATGGGTGGGGAATCACATGCAAGCAGCAGCAGCAGCAGCAGAAGCAGCAGCAAAGAATCAAATGTCGCTGTCCAAAGCACCAACTGGTGGGGTTTTGACGTAGGTAATAAGCTATTATTCCCACCCATCCACACAAGAGGTCCCGCACAGGAAGGTGAGTCAGCCACTACTCCACCGCTTGGTGGGTAGGTGGGGTGCCCTGCCCCCTTGCAATTGCACAGGTAGATTGCGCAGGGTCAGCAGGTAGGTCAGTCAATCGCATTTTGGGCAGGAAGGTCACCGGCTAACACTACCAATGCAAGCCAACTAGGTGGAAGCGAGAAGAGGCAAGTGGCCGTGTGGAGGTAAAGACGGCAATGGCGGTAACGGCGTGGTGGCGGCAACAACGACAAAGGCGACGGCACAGTAGTGACGATCAATCTTCACCCCTTTTCCGGGGATTTTTCTCCTCTGGTAAGGCCAACCTGCCCCTCAAGAGCCAACTTCGCAAGAACAATCCTTCGCAGACGGAGACCTTGCTGACCCAAAATCAAGCCAGGGGTCGTTTGCGTGCGGTCCACACCCATCCATATACCTGCTCCCCTCGCCCCGAACCCACGGATCACTCTCGAGCACCTGCACGGAATCCAATCGTCGACTACAACCTTCTCCCATCTCCGCGTGGTGCCGTTAAAAAGCCGGAACTTGTACCTGCCGAATGCGTTGTACTCTCGAGTCACAAACACCTTGGTCACATCGCGGTCGGAGGGCGGGGCGGGGCCATTCTCAGATGCAGGCGCGGGGCCCCAGGCGGTTGTGTCTATAGGCATACCACCCAACTTCCCGTCCGCCCGCCTAGCGAACCGTTGGTCCGTATGTCATTTGCTACTTCGCCACGTAGGATCTTCCAGGTCGTAGTTCCAACGGCTCACGGCAACCAACGGTAGGTGCAGCCCAACGGCTGCGCCCTTCACGTCTAGGACATGTGTACCTACCCCCCGGATGTTAGCCATCCGCCACCACAACACGCTGCCCCCAACCACCGATGAACGGTTTCCACCCTCCTGATCCCCCCCTTCTGCGTCCCCTCCCATTGCCGTCCATTCCATCCCCATCTTGCTACACCCTCATCCTTCGCACCCATTCTCATGCCCGCCCCGGGCCTTCCCGACGCCATTCATCCACCTACAGCCACCCGCCCAAGCACCTGCTGCACAGCTCCCTCCTGGTTTGCGAGACACGCCAACGCCGACATGAGCCAACAGTCCCCCAGCTGACCCTGACAGATGTCGGAGGGGTGGATGCCGTCTGCCGCAAGACGCCGGTAGGCAGGCAGCCGGGCAAAGGGGCGTGCGTGCGGTTCAGCACGTGTTGGTTGGAAAGCGACCACAGCATCCGCAGCAAAACAGCGGCGGTGAGGCCTCCAGGGAACCCCCACCAATAATGTGTGCACGAGAGTCCGGAACAGAGGGTGCCACTGCCGTTGTTGCTGCTACTGCTTCTGCCGTTGCTGCTGCTAGTGGTGTTGTTGCTGCTACTGGTGTTGCTGCTGCTACTGGTGTTGCTGTTGCTACTGGTGTTGCTACTGTTTTGTTGCTACTGCCGTTGCTGGTGTTGCTACTGTTGCTACTGCTGTTCCTACTGCTGTTCCTAATGCTGTTGCTACTTCTGTTGCTGCTGCTGTTCTTACGGCGTTTCTCCGCCAATCCAGCGGAGGAGGATGGGGGAGCACCGGCAATAGTTTGATGTGCACCAATGAATGCTGTTTCGGTCGGTACGCTTTCTCCTCCTCGTTAGGACGTGGTTGGGAGGTCGTGACCTCCCGGGGGAGGTATAAGCAGTAGCATCGCCATCGCCTACCCAACTATGGCAAGCTCCAAACTAATCCGCCGCTGCTGTGGCTTTGAGGACCGCCGGTATCGTATTTGCAAAACTCCACAGAGCACCCGGTTCCCTTATGTATGCATCCAAAATGGTACAGGTGACCCACGGGTCGAAAATGCAAAGATGCAAAGCACCAAGCTCCGCAATCTGACACGCCACGCGTGAGCCAGACGGCGGGTCCGCCTGGTCCTGCTTAATCCTGCCTGGTCCCCTCCCCTCCGCTCCTCTCCCTCCTAGGTGCTCGTGGTGGGGCATGATAAGGGTCTGGCTGTCCTGTCCCTCCTTAATCCTCTCCTGCTCGAGATTGAATTTACCACAGCACAACGGATTCCATGCTCGGTGCTTATCATACCTGCGAAAAGTCGTACGGTGGCCTTGGATTTGGAGCCGGATGCTGCGCCCGGCTTGCCTTTCTCCTGGGGTGTAGCCATCGAGCAGATGGCCCCAATGCGGCGCCTGTGAATGTGTGCGTGTGTTACAATCGGTGGAGTAGCAGGGGGTGAGGAAGCCCCATGGCCCTGCGGCTGCGAGTGTATTGGGGTTGGCGCTCAGAAGACGTGGCAAAGTTGTACAGTTGCCTTACCCTGGGGGTTAACCAAAACACTGAGCTGTTTTCATCCGGCTCGGATACTCGAGCTGCAGCCAAAAAGCCTCTAAGAACCGAAGACAACGAGCAAGGTTTCACACCCGCACTCTCCCAGCGATGCAGCACGTCTACTGTCTGACCCGTCATAGATGCAGAAGTGCCAATGGAGGCATTACAAGGAAAGACCTCGGGTGGTGTGCGCATGCAGGACGCAGCACAGGCGAGTCAGCACAGGCGGCGCGCTCTCACCAGACCACCTGCTTGTCCAGTTCCACGCCCGACTTGCCCTTCAAGATTCCAATGCTGCGATGGTCGTGTGGAAAATTCCGGTCCTGCAGATCGACCAAGTCGCGGTGGTTGGGTTGGCTGCGCGGCCCAGCTCAAAAAGTCAGCACAACCTCAGGTTGGTCATGTGGATAACGTGAATCTAAGGACCTACGGATATACTGCCAAGGGCTGAGGGCCAGCCTCGGGACGACTTTCCTTTTGCGACATTACTCTGTACATACCGGATTGCGGATCGTGGGATGTCATATGCTTTGATGGTAATTTGGGCGTGGCAGCAGAATAGGCTATGTAGTATGGTGCGTGGGTAACAGTTAAAGCGACCTGAGGCATGTCCCTGCCCATGAGCGTACTAAGTATAACCTTTATGAACATCGGGTTTCGGGTTGTGTTGTCAAGTCCTTGACGACTTCAAGTCGCGACCGCGACACACCTTGTATGTACACGAGCAACACACACACAAGCCACAGAAGACGCCCCGGCCAAGACGCTCGATGTATGCAGCGATCATTCCCAATACATAGATCCTGGTTGCTTGCGAAAGGATTGGCAAGGGGTTCAATTTGCAAGGGTTTTTTGCATATGCGCAGTTGGTTCGACATGGGTATTACATCGAAGAGGTGCAAAAAGGAATAATATGAAATTCAAAGAATTATCTGAGGTTGTCTATTGTGGATGCAGCGAAAGAAGCAGGGATGCTGACCGGCAAGTAAAACAGTGACCGATGGTGTCAAAGCGAACCGACTTACTTGAATGCCATGAATAATAAGATGAAAGGTGCAAATATGTACTTGGCAAAGCAACAGCAGCTTATGCAGCTGTCCTCCTTTTCCTGTTCTTGTGTGCGGGAAGACTTGGCCATAATTTCCACAGTTTCACAGTACAGTAGGTACAAATAATAAATTTAACAAGAATGTTGTAGGATGGCAATCGTCCCCACTACTTAAAGCATTCCCTTGCAGCTATGCAATGCCACGAAGTGGTTAAGCCGTCGCGCTTTCAAAGAGGATGCAGCAGCGTGCAGCCCTCTATTGGGTCAGATGCAAGATGGATAAACCGCCTTTAAGGGTGGATGGATGGATGGATGTTACAAGCTTCCGCGAGCTCGTACGGCCCAAACGAACCCGGAGGCTCATGAACCGCTTTGACAGCGCCGTCGATAGGGAAAAGAAAAAAGAGAAAAAGTAAACGAAACAAACAAAACAAACAACAAAAAAAGAAAGTTTTACGCGAGAAGAAAACGAGTGTTTATGAGAAAGAAAAGCGTCAATTTGACTCTGAAACACAATTGCCTGTTACCGCCGAGAAAGTTAGGCAGTTAGGTCCTCATGCCGGGAGTAAGTAAGGGTAAGGAAATTTGGGGGTACGGGAACATGCGGCTTGGAACAGCGGTACCAGCAGGGGCTCTGCTACGGGTAATAGATAGCGTTTTTAGTGATCATTCATATAAATGCCTTAATGTTTGTATGTGTTTGAAAGTAAGCAACGCGGTTTTACAAGGCGTCCACCTTGTCAGCGGAGGGCACAGTTGTGTGCTATGCCGTGCGTGCTGAGGTGGCTGGCTGGCAGGGAAGGCCCGTGTGATGTTGGTGCGGCATAACTGCCCATAAACCTGTACAGCTTGTTATTGTCTGCACAAGAGCAGGAAAGCCTACTGCACGTTTGCCAAAGTTAAGCGGTTTTAAGATTCAAGGTTAGTGAAGGTCGGGCGCGGTTGTACAATATACAGCGACCTATAAGGCCCGTGTCCCCAGGGCCGAGGTCTTATTAGTCGGCTGACGCATTGCTTGTGATATCTTGGCTATATCCTGGTTTTGTAATTCGCCTTCCTGTTGGTGCCTAAGCGTGACGGTTCTGTCCCTTTTTCTTTCTCTCCCCCCCGCCCCCTCTCTCTCGCTGTTCAGTTGCTTTTAATGGTCAGTCTCCATCTGTCATCACTCGGCTGCCTTAGCAGTGTGGCAATCGGACGACAGGACCGTTCTTGTGACTGCGCAGTTAACCATCTGCGTCAGCAGCCTGCAGCCTGCAGGGTCATCAGACCCGATGGCATAAACACGTCGGTTGGGTGCAAGTGGTGCGTCGGTGGGTTGCCGTACATGTGGGTTTTGCCGTACGCGTGGTGTCTTGGGGCCGCCCTTGACTATACATACTGGCTAGGCACGGACCCAGCTGAGCGTGTGGCGCTGGCACAATCTACGGGGCCCTGAAATTACAGTACGGAGCCTGCGATTACGCTACGCACACGCATACATACATGCATACATATATATACATACATACATACATGCGGCAGCCGCGCCTCTTCAAGCAACGTAACTTCCACCTCCATACCCAATTAGAACAAATATAACATCTTGCAGCCAGCGTCACACGCAGTAGGCCGCAGTAACTCAAAAACATCCCAAACCAAAAGGGATTGCACGAGCTCGTGCAAGGTGAACGAGCACCTGTGTTTATACCACGACTTCAGAAAAGTATCGATTGGCGGATGCAGATCCCGTGATATGCCCGGGCATGTCACTACCACCTGGCAATGCTTACACCTGGCAAGAGCGCTCATGTTGCGTCATAAGACTGTCGCATCGAACAAAACAGGTGCGTACGACAGACGCCCCAAATTTGCATATTCCTATCCGTACAACAAAATGCAGAAGCATAAACATTCTCCCCTATAGGAGACCACCGCGGTCTCCTAAGTGCAGCACTCCGCTCGTTAGCGGCCGGCTGACCAGACAGCTTCAAATTTTCGCACGTATTTCGCAGTGCCCATCGTCACGCAGTGGCTGTGGATATACATATTCCCTATGTTGTGAAAGGCGGCTCTTTTAGGTTACCGCCGTCGTGCTTGTTTCAGCTTTATACTAATTCACGAAGTATTGGATTCACGCTGCACCGAGGCTGCCGGCAGCACCTTAGTAAACCATGTCGCCCCGTCCTCCTTTCCATGAGGTGCACATCTTCCTGCATGTTCATATCCTAGAGCAGGGCGCGTATAAAGCATGACAGCATAAGTATATCATAGCCACCAATGCAGTTGCAGCTGCCGGACAAAGTGATTTGTGTCGACCTGACGTGGTTGGTTGAGGCGGCGTTAGTTGTGCGCCCACCATCGGGCGCCTATTTGCCGCACATACAGCATTCCACCGCGAGCATGGTAGCACAATAACCAAAAGCTAAGGAACTAACTCAAAGGATAACAATAATAACTGCTGGCCTAGAATAATATATGCGGAAGTCTTGGAAGCCCGAGCTCTACGGCCATCGAAATACAAATTGAGTCCTCCCAGTCGACCCAGTCGACCTGGGTTCAAATCCGCCTGCCGGCTCCTCGGGTGTTTGAGGAGTGATGAAATGGGAGGTGGCCCCCCATCTTATGGACGGTGTAGGACGTGATAATATCAACTTGCGAGCCGACCAGGAAATAAGTTGATGCGCCGTTGATCCGCTAGATTTGGTTGGATGCTGGTGGTGAGTTGCCGAACCCAACGAATACATTCTGAAGTCGGATGGGGTGACGGATTAGGGTGCCCCTCTAGCAGGGGAGAGCAGGGACTGCCCCGGGAAAGGGGGCCGCTGGCGAAGTTAACCACCCTGTAACAACATAAAAAAAAACTGAGATATTGGGCGGCCGAGGCGGGCGCTAGCTAGGGTGTAATCTCATCAGCTAAACGACGAGCCTTGCCCTTAGTTTTCCATAAACGGATTGCTCGTATATTATGCTAGAAAGAATGTTGTATAACCTTCTCCAACCAATCCTTCATACGCTGCAGCCTTGGGCCATGCAAGTGCACACGCGCCCGCACGCATACTTAGCCGAAGGCACGCACAACCGATTCACCGCTTAGATCGGCCTCAGTACGCGTAGATAACCATTTCTCGGAAATAAACGTAGCAGGGCAAAAGCACTCCTCACTTACGTAAAATGTGCGTGTACAACGAACAGGTTCATGCGGGATGCGCTTCTGAATATCAGAGGCGGTAGGGAGCTGGATGTCAACAAGGGCCAAGCGTAGAATAAAATGTCGCCATGCTGTATATCCGCCGTACGGAGTATATATCCTCATACGGCGGTGAGCACGACAAGCGTCTCGACATGTTGACCGCACATCTTTGCAATGGCACATCCTGGCTAAAAATATATGACTTATAAGCAAACGTGCGAACTGGGAACCCGCAGAAATGTTCCAACTGCACTGCTGCGCTCCGTGTCCCAACGACAGCTTTGAAAGGAATTCAAAATTTCAATACTGCTATTGAATTCACCACCTTCGAAGGTGGTGAAGCCGTACTTGTTCATATCGAGCAAAGCAAGCGTACTAACAACAAAAGCGAGGCCAGCAGACCCGAGGAATGATGTCCTGCTGGGACAGGTCTTTGCCGACATGGACGCGCAGATGCTGCACGTCAAAAAAAATGATAAGCTGAACAAAGAAACTTTCCTATTCGTTGGATGTGTCGAGGCACATGGGTGCATGTCACCGCCTCGTCGAAATTGGACATCGCTGACCCTGCTGCAAGGCATCAAAGAACAAACGCAGCAAACAACCTTCGGCCACTTAGTCGCGTACTCACCCCCAACACGCCAATCCAAAGTCAAAGTGCCCAGACATCGGCAAAGAGTTCCCGAAGCCGGCCGGCTTGCAGAAATAGGATCATACGCCGTATTCGAAATTATACGAAGCTATCCGGCCCGAAGGACCGCCCGACGACCTGAGTCCGCGGCCAATGATGACAGAAATAGACCCGTTCCCGAAACCAGAAATACCCCGTTTGCCGATGTCTGTCAGCAACACGCTTTCCACGCCAAGTAACAAAGAACTTCCAGCCGGCAACTACCAAAGCAAAGGATGAACAACCAACAACGCAAGAAGAGCGTGTCATCTTAGTCGGAGGCTTCCTCCACACCCAAGACCTGCCCGCATGACAGTACGGTCCTGGACGGCGCGACCTCATACTCCTCTCCATCGTGTCCAATCCACGACGCCCGCGACGATGCGCGCTTTCTTACCCACGTAGGCGTTTGAGTGCACGATCTGACGTTTGTGCCATTGCGGGATATGCATCGGCTACGGGACGGCTATGCGACTTCTATGGAACGGTTTATTATGATCACCTATGAGGTCCTGGAGGGTCGCGTCCGCCTATGTGGAAAACGAACGATATGGACCTCTTTCCATTCCATGTAAAACAGGCACGCGCCTTGCGGGCAAAGCTAGTAGGGAAGAGCAGCCCGTCATCGTGATACGTAACATATACAATGACTTGATAGGACCCTCTGGGAACCGTCCAGCCATGAACACACAGATTCGCGTGGCCACTCCCGCGTCTCAAGCCATCAAGGCGTCTCGCCAAGGAAAGTGCGAACCGCTCAGCCGAACAATCCCATCGTCGTTTTCATTCACGTTTACATTCCTATCCCCAGATGTCAGCTCTCTCCACCCGCCCCGGCCCTGCCCAGACTCACAGCCTCTGTGAAGCCGTTACAGCTCGATATCCCGCCGTTGACCCTGGTCTGCTGCAGCGCCGGCGGCCAGCATCCAGGGGTGGCAGCGCAACTGCCGAACCGTGGGTCGTTCCTCCGGCAGATGGGCCAGCGCGGAGATGATGAAGTCACGTGCCCCAGGGGACACGGAGGCGGGGAATTTGAGGCCACCCTTGCCGAGCAGTATGGGCGGGAAGCCGACCAGCAGCTCGTACACCAAAACACCCACACTCCAAACGTCCTGGAGCGTAGAGGTGTGGGGGGGGGAAGCATGCAAGATGTGTCAGTCTTACATGCACCTGAAGAAGCACCGTGACGCCAGTTTTCGGGCCTCTGCCGTGTTGGGCCACGGCACGGCACGGGGCGACACGGCAGAGGCCAGAAAACCGGCCCTGAAGGGAAGGCTCCTGCGCGCAATGCATATTTCACGTAATGGAATGAGGCTTCAATCACGTGTGTTGTTTTGTCAACACGGAAGCCCACGCACCCAGCA